TGATTTTTTTTTAATTTATTGTAGAGATGAGGACTCACTGCCCAGGCGGGTCTCGAACCCACGGGCTCAGGCAATCCACTCACCTCAGCCTCCCAAAGGCGCGGGATTACAGGCTGAGCCACCGAGCCCGACTTGTTCTTGTTATTTTTAAAACACGAGGTCTTACTGTGCTACCAGACTGAGTGCAGAGGCGTGATCACAGCTCACTACATCTTCAAACTCCTGGGCTCAGCGATCCTCTGACCTCGGCTTCCTGTGCGGGCTGGCCCAGGTGCAGCTCTTGGCAGAGTGCCTGACACATGGGACGTGCTCAGTGAATGCTAGGTGCCATTTCAGCCGGCAATGACTGTTCCTTCCTTTCCCCACCACTGGCCCAGGAATTCTAGATTTATCTGGAAGCTCTTTAAGGAGTCCACTGGATCTCACCATCCCAGTGATCATAATGAACTCAGTGTGGAGTTCTTATTTCCAAAGACTGGATCATACAAGAACACTCTCATTTATTCAAATACTCTGTAAGATTTCTTTTTGGTAGAAAACAAAGATACCTATAGCCAGAAGGGGCTTAAAGAATTTAGGCATTCTTAACTCTTGCTTAAACTGGCTAGCAGATTTGGTATTTAGGGCTCCAACCTCTGGCCAGCATCAACCTGCCCATGAGGCTTACAGCATAGATGTTCAGTTTGATACATTTCAGGGTTATCAAATCAGAAATAAGCAGGCACTCACCATACAAAGTGTTCCAACATAAGCCACAACTTACTTTGTATTTTGTGATCCCTGGCCCAAAAAAATTTTCTCTGACAGCTTGATTATTTTTACTATGAAGCATCATTTACATTTAATGATTTATAATTAGCCAGAGAGGAGACAGTGCCAGGAAATACACATCCTTTTATTATTAACTAATCACACATTAGCTTTGAGGAACTAAACCTATTTGATCCAGAGAGAGAAAAAAAAGACTGGGCTTGGTGGCACAGCCTGTAATCCCAGCATTTTGGGAGGCCGAGGCGAAAAGCATTGCCTGAGCCTGAGGGTTCGAGACCAGCCTAGGCAACATGATGAGACCTCATCTCTACAGTAAATCAAAAATTAACACATGCCTGTCGTTCCGGGTGCTTGGAAGGCTGAGGCGGAAGGATCGCCAGAATCCAGCAGGTCAACGCTGGGGTGGCTGTGAGCGTGCCACTGCACTCCAACCTGGGCGAAGGAGTGAGATTCCAATGAAAAAAAAAACCACAAAAGAGGTTAAAGTGAAATTACGCCCTGCTAGCTTTGCAGGGCCGGCCTGGCACCTGACCAGCTGCAGGGCCAGGAAGCGGCTTGCGGAGAAGCAGTCTTCAGCTGTGGTCAAACCCTGTGAACTGCACCCCTGAAGGCTGAGCGCCCCTGGAACGTGCATGTTCTCCCCCAGGAGGGTGGGGACAAGGCCTCCTGGAAAGACAGACAGACCAAGACACATTCTGAGGGCCCCGAGGAAATAAGATGTGACGAGACGGTGTTTTTTTTCTATTTTTATAACATTTTTATATAACTCATAAAACAGTGCTTGTATAAAAATTCACACAAAGTTGCTAGAGAGCATACAGTTTCCAAAAATGTCCTGGGTTTTTGTTACATTCAGTTTTCTAAGGATGCACTCAGGTCAATGGTCAAATGCAGACATGATGTGATATTCCATTATCTTTGGTAAAACTATTCTCATTATTGTGTCTCCTCACAGTATTAACTCTGATATCCACTTTGTGCAGGGTCTGCTATTACTAGGATGTCAGAAAACATTAAGGCTGGATCTACACGAGGCAAGTATTTCAAAGAGCAGTGACAGCCCCCTGGCCGCACCCCCACTCCATGCGTCTACAGTCTATCTACACAGCTGGGTGGGGGAGAGCTCAAGGACCTCCCATCAGGAGTCTCAAGATCCCCTCAACCCAGCAAGAAACAAACATGTCAGGGAAACTGAGGCCACTCCTACGGGAAGCCAAGAGGCCATGCTGTGGCGTGGTGAGGCCAGCGACTCTTACCACAGACAAGGCCGACCCGTCCACTGCTAAGTAGATCCCATTGGTTGGTTGGTGATTGCTGCGGATGGGTCCCCCCGCCCCCAAACTTAAAAGGGAAGAAGGGATCAGCACTGGAGGGGGAGGGGCACATAGGCGCTAGTGACACTAGACATGCCTTTATTCCCTGTCAGACGTGTGTTGTCATGTAGACACAAGCAAGAGGGGGGCTGAAGCAGGATTCGAACACTCAGTACATTCACGACTAGCTTCACACATTCTTCAAAACTCACTAACAGAGAAAATGATGAGGACTACCACCTACTGTGACTTACTAGTTCATTTAACATCAACATGTGTCTGTGCTAAATTTTTAGTCCTTGGAATACAAGGCAAAAGAAGAAAAAAAAATCCAAAAAACAAACAAGTAAAAACCAAAGAATTTAGATGGGGGGAGAGAAGGGGGTTGCCAACAGATTTCATGAAACACGTTACATTTTGAAAAAAAATAAGTTTTCTGTACTTCTATTGCTTCATGTACAAAACAGACACAAACAAACAACGCCCACTGGAGCCAACTGTATGGATGAAGTGAGGACACCATACAGAGAGCAGGGGACGGCAGGCGCTTCCTGACCACAGTCCATAGGGACGAGACGGTTCCCAGAGCACATCCACCTCTCTTCGCAGAAAGGGACTGCGAGATTTGGGGGGAAGAAGCCCTACACACGACAAGTATGGAGAAAACCACCAAAACATGGCTTCTGAAACCAAACACGCTCTAGGTTACAAAGAGACATAGCTGAGTTCTAGACCTGTTAATTTCTCTAACATGGGCAGGTAGGAGTTTTTTTAAAAAATTATTACTAAATGATTGTGCTTCTAAAGTTGCAGGGTCATGTTCCACCCTCTAGGAAGCAGGGCAGTTTTCACATGGCTTGGAGTCCTCTTGCTTAAATCCCAGAAACCAGAACAAATTCCAGGACCCCCAGCCCAGCCGGCAGGGCCAGCAGGAGAGGGCCACAGCCATCTTTGGGCAGGGCGCATGCGCGTGTGCGTGCATGTGTCGGAGAGACTAAGGCATAGGGAAAAGGCCCAAGTGAGGGGGAGTGAGGCTCCTGGCCGCTGAGTCCCTTCTTTCGAGGCACAAAGGAGTTGAACGTGTAATTCGGGTAGGTCCCCTTCATCTCATCTTAGCTTTTAGTAAGCAGTGTGTGTGCGTGTGCGTGTGTGGTGTGTGTGTGTGTGTGCACGTGTGGGGGGTGTGTGACAGTAAGTCCCTGTGCATTTCTAAGTTTCAATAATTTAGGTTTGCAGTTTCGACAGAAATAATCTGTAAATGACATTTAAAAGCAAGTTTACTAAAGTTAGATCAGCAACTTTCCATTGCTTAAAATCCTATGTCATATTTTTTAAAATGCTCCTGGGTACAGGCAAGATGTCACACAGCCACCAGAACCGAGGTCCCTATTAGCTGCATGAAGAAAATTCACAGATTGTTTCTATTATCTCTGCATTTTTAAGGTAGCAAAAGATCAAGTTTATTAGATCTGTAACATCTCACAAGGCTTTTGTAACTGCCCTGTGGGACTCAATTTTCCAGGTCGGGTACAATGTTTTCTTTCTCTCTTAGGCATTTGGCCCCCAAAGTTAGGTAGGTAAAAGTGTTGTTCTTGTTTTCTCTCCTTTTTTTCTTTAAAAGGCTTTTCTTTAAAAGGACTGTACCTGTTGGGATATGCCCGGTTGGCACTCCTGGACATTCCCAATCCGTGGGGAGACAAAAGACTTGCACCCCAAAGCCAAAGGATGGCCAGGGGTAGGACAGCAGGACCATCCACGGGCCCGAGGGGAGAGTTCTGAGTGGACCCTGGGAGGGGCATGGGAGCCCCAACCGAGATGACCTGTGTCCAGTGCCGGGTGGCCCCAAGAGAGCCCCAGGCCCCGGCCTGCCCTGAGGAACACGGTGTGCAGCCCCCTGGAGGAGCGAACACCGCGGTCTGGGGAAGTCGCCGCCGCACAGCTCCCAGAACCCGGAGGTTGTACAAATACACACTCAGAAAGTAAACAGTTCCCAGTGAGCCCAGAGAGGCCCACCCTGAAATCAAACAAGAAGCCAAACGCCCCCACATGGTTTCCCGAGGAAACAGGTCTGCCCCACTCTGGCCAGCAGCCACGTGGGGCGAGGGACGGGGACGGTGGAAGGACACGGCTCACGTGAAGACACCACGGACGTGTTTCCACATCTACCTACATTCATGTCATCATCATCCAGTGTTCTCGTCTACACAGAGTGAGCACAACATTCTACCCAGGCTTCCGGCGGACAGGCCAAGCTGCACGAGGCTTCCCGGGCACCACAGCGAGGGGAAATCGTGCAAGTGTCACCAAACACTGCACGCTCTCCCGCTCCCCTACCGCCATCCAAGGGCTATTCTTGACTCTTCCAAAATCAGGTGTAAAAGACAAGCTCAGTGAGATCGGTCTCTGTGCCACCCGAAGCTCTGATTCACCATCGTGCACAAACATGGCACTTTTAAAAAGATTTTTGTTTTAAGTAAAATGGCCCCCCCAAAGAGCCCGATGACTATTTTTTATGGGTTTCTTTTTAATTAAGAAAAAAAAAAGGATCAAAATGGAAGAGATGAAGCATAGGAAGAGGAAGCAGAGTGGCCGGGCTTGCATCTTAGGTTATGAGGGGCTGGGAGGGCACCGCCAGGGAGAGAGGACCTGGACCCTCCGTCCCTGCCAGCTCTGCTCTCCCCACGCAAACTGTGCCACCAGGGAACACAGGACAAGAGCAGTAGGCACAGAGGCCAAATCAGGCTGCATTCTTGTGGTTGGGGTGTCTACTGTGCAAACGGAGCAAGCCACTCCCCGGGATGTAAGGTGCCTGTCTGCGGATGCCACCCGCGTGCCCCGGAGGACACCGCTCGGTCCCCAGGGTGCCCACGGCTCAGCCTCTGGTGACCCCGGGTCTCGGGGCCGGCGGCAGGCCCGTCACTTCTCCACTTTCTTGGCCTTCTTGAGGATGTCGCACTTTTTCCGGTTGGGGCGGCGGCAGCGCTCGTCGATGCTGGGGATACATTCGTAGTGCCACACCTCCTCCATCTTCTCCACGGGGTACACGGCCTCCACGTAGTGGCGGATGAGCCGCAGCCGCGTGGGGTCCAGCTGCTTCTTGTTGCAGGCCCCGGAGTGGTTGTACTGCAGCCGGAGGTTCTCGGCGGTGAAGAGTTCGGGGAAGAGCCTGACCAGGAGCCGCGCCGCGAAGTTGCCCACCGACAGGCTCTGCTGCACGATCTCGCGCACCTCCTTGTCGGACAGCAGGTAGGGAGAAGGCACCGGGAAGTCGGGCGAGGGCACCACCAGCTCGTCCAGGGGGATCTTGCAGAAGTCCTTGCTGCTCCGCTCGGGGGGCAGCGGGGGCCCCTCGAACTCCTCCCGGAAGCGCTCGGGGTTGACGGCGAAGCTGGCCAGGTCGCGGCACTCGGGGCCCGGCACGTGCACCTTGCGCTGCTGCTGGTAGGAGCGCCGCTGCTCCGTGTCGCGGCGCCGGCAGCGCTCGTCCAGCTTGCCCACGAACTCCAGCGTCCACACGCGGTCGTTCTTGGCCCGGGGGTACAGCAGCTGCACGTAGTGGCGGATGAGGCGGATGCGCGCGGGGTCCAGCTGCTTCTTGCCCAGGGAGCCGCTGCAGTTGTACTGCTTCCGCAGGTTCTCGTGCGTGAAGAGCTCGGGGAACAGGTGCACCAGCAGGCGCGACGCGAAGTTGCCGATGGACAGGCTGCTCTCGTAGATGCTGCGGAGCTGCTCGCGGCTCAGCAGGCAGTCGGCGCCCGGCACGTCGAAGTCGGGCGCCGGGATGTCCAGCTTGTCGAAGTCGATGGGCACCAGCCAGATCTTCTTGGAGCGCCGGCCGGGCCGCTCGCCCTCGAAGCTGTCCTCCACCTTGACCACCGACACGTCGTCCGGCAGGCTGGCGGAGTCGTAGCAGTCGTCGCGGCCCGGCTCGCCCTCGCTGCCCGCGTCGGGGCCCAGGCCCTCCAGCTCGTCGTTGAGGCGCTGGGCGCACTGCTGCTGCCACGCCTCCTCCTCCTGCATGTCGGGGAAGTAGATCTCCGTGTAGTTGCGGATGACCTGCAGCCGCTGCGGGTCCAGCTCCTGCTTGCCGCCGTCCCCGTAGCAGCTGTACTGCTCGCCCAGCTTGCGGTGGTCGAAGAGCTCCGGGAAGAGCCGGTGCAGCAGGAAGACGGCGAACTCCCCCGGCGAGGAGGCCTCGTCCAGGAACTCGGTGAGGTCCTGCGTGTCCACCACGTGGTCCGAGGCGATGGTGCTGCTGCGGTCCAGGGACAGCGCCTCCTCCGCGTCCTTGCCGTCCAGGAAGCCGGGGTCCACCGGCTCCGGCTCGAAGAAGCCGGCCACCTGGCCGCCGGGCTGGCTGTCCTCCATCTCCCGCTGCGCCCAGAAGCGGCTGAAGAAGTCGTTCAGCTGAGGCAGGCACTCGGCCTGCCACACAGCCGTGTCCTTCACCACCGGGTAGTACACTTCCACGTAGTTGCGGATGAGCTGCAGGTGCAGCGACTCGAGCTTGCGCTTGGCCGCGAAGCCACAGGCGCTGCAGCCGCGGGAGAAGTCCACGTCGCTGAACAGCTCGGGGAACAGCTGCACCAGCAGGCGGCAGGCCAGGTCCCCGCCCGACAGGCTCTGGTCGGCGATCTGCTTGAGCTCGGCCGCAGTGAGCTGGTACTCCGGCGGCGGCTGGAACTTGGCCGTGGCCTCGGCGGGGCTCACCTGCCTCTTGATGCGGCTCACCTCCAGGGACAGCAGGTCTACCTTGCTGTGCAGCTGCGACATGTTGGATGTGAGGGTGTTGAGCATGTAGAAGATCTTCTGGATCAGGAAGTAGATGTTGGGGTCCCCGTCCGGGGCCGCCCCGCCACCGCAGTCCCGCTTCGGGGGCTCGTTCAGGAGCCTGAGCGGCGACGGGCTGTTGCTGGCGGTGGCCTTCTCGAAGAGCTCGTAGGTGCTCAGCAGGTCCCCCGGGGGCGGGTTCTTCTTCTCCATGATCTTGTGGGAGATGCCGTACAGCGGCTTTTTGTAGGACGGGGTGGCGGCGTCCTGGCCCGGCTCCTCCTCTGCCAGCCACGCAGGCCCCGCCGTCCTGCCCCTGCCCGCCTGCTCCCCATTGCCCAGGCAGGGCGAGCTGTTCTCGCGGTTCCGCATGCCTGCCAGGAGAGCCTGCAAGAGAAAAGGCGTTTCCAGAACATTAGGCGCGTGCTCCCAGGGCCTCCGCGAGATGGGCTCTGTGTCACGCCCACAGGCGGGGGTCAACCTCGGGGTGTGTAAGAAACTGCTTCCCCTGCCCTGGTCACTCAGCGTCCAGGACACACCAGGAACGCACACCTGCATCCCCGCCCCACACCCGCTGTTGACTCCCCAGGAAAAAAAAGGGAGGACCCAGGGAGGTTTTGTGCTCCTGCCAGACTTCTTGCTCACTCGGGCCCTCTGGGAGACCAAGCACAGAGGCTGGCCATGCTGGTCAGTAAGTCTGCAAGGGATGGCAAGGAGCGCTTGCACTCCCTGGCCGTGGGCCGGGCATCTCAGGGACCCAGGCCTGGGTCTGCTCTAAGACAGAGACAGAGATCCTGGCTCTGGTAGCCACAGAGGAGTAGTGTGTCCGTTCAGCCTCTGACCAAGGGGACAGCTGGCGTCTCCACCCGGGAAGGCTCCCCGAAACACTTGGTGGTGGGAGGACACTGGGGCCTGGGTGCAGGGAACAGCAGTTTGCCAACTCTACCCCTGCCTGAAATCACGTCTCAGATTGGAAAGGGCTGGTCAGAATGTTCCAGAGCCTGTGCAACTAGGAGAGAGTAGAAACAACCCCAATTTTCTAATCAACAGGTGTAAAGCTAAACTGCGTTATATTCATACACTGGAACACCACTCAGTAAGAAATGAATGATTCAGCCAGGCACAGTGGCTGATGTCTGGAGGATGAGGCAGGAGAATCACTTGAGCCCAGGAGTTTGAGACCCACCTGAGCAATGTAGTGAGATCTCGTCTCTACAAAAAACAAAAAATAAGCCAGGCATGGTGGAATGAGCCCGTAGTCCCAGGTACTCAGGAGCCTGGGGCATGAGGATCACCTGAGCCCAGGAGGTCAAGGCTATGGTGAGCTGTGATTGTGTCACTGCACTCCAGCCTGGGTGACAGTGAAATTCCAACTGCTCCCCCACCCAAAGTCGGGTGTGGTGGCACATGCCTGTAGTCTGCAGTTCCAACTACTTGGAAGGCTGAGGCGGAAGGATCGACTGAGCCCAGGGTCAAGGTTGCGGTGGCTGTGAGTGTGCCACTGCACTACAACCAGGTAAGAGTGAGACGCGGACTCAAAAAAAAAATCTGAATGATTGATACTCATGGTACACTAGGTACTCATGACAAATCTCAAAATAATCATGCTGAGCGAAAGCCACACTACCAAAAGAGGCCGTGCTATATGATTCCAGTTATATATAAGATTCTAGAAAATGCAAGCTTAGCCGGGCTCGGTGGCTCAGCCTGTAATCTTGCGCCTTTGGGAGGCTGAGGTGAGTGGATTGCCTGAGCCCGCAGGTTCGAGACCCGCCTGGGCAGGCAAGACCTCATCAATACAATAAATCAAAAAATTAGCCGGGCGTGGTAGCGCGTGCCTGTAATTCCGGCTACTCAGAAGGCTGA